CCTTTATTCGAAATTCTTGGGATACAAAAGGACGGTTGCTTTGGCCGGGTTGTGAGAGGACTCTTCGTAGAAAAAAAAGTGATGTGGATATGCCTTTGATGTGTCGATGTTCATTTTTTTTCTTTTAATCTGTCTATAAACACTTTGGTCTAGATTTCTGATCAATTACAATAGTTTTATTCCTCTTATGAGCAATTACAAATGATAATGATAATGATAATATCAACAACAACAATGATAAAAATGAAAAAAAGTGATGATAACTATATAATGGTAATGATAGTACCGATGATAATCATATTAAAGATGATTATTATTGTTATTATCGCTATCATTGTTATTAAGATTATGATCACTGCTATAACTTCACTTATCACTTTTATAATTACTGCTGTTTATATTACTATTATTATCATCATTGTGATCATAAATATTTTTATCATAATCATTTTTATTTTCATTCGCATTTTCATTATTGTCATTATTCTTCTTTTCTTTTTATTGTTATTATCATCATAATTATCACTATCATTATTATTGCTGCTATTACTGCTTCGATTATTATTAATTAACTATTATTGCTATCCATATCATCCTTATTACTATTATTATTACCCGTAATATTAGTATTTGTATTTCTGGTGGTATTAATGGATCAGTGCCACCATTATTTTATCTATTGCCTATGTTGTTATCATCATCATAATTACCATTCCTTGTATTATCATAATAATAATGATACTAATAATGATGATAATAGTAAAATAATAATAATAATAATAATATTATTATTATTATTATTATAATAATGATATATAATGATAAGAATAATTTCATTATTATTATTATCAGCATTATCATTATTATTATTACTATTAGTAGTAGTACCATTATTGTTATTATTATTACTATTTCACCATTATTATTACTTGCCATACTAATAGCAATATTTGTAGTATATCCGGTATTATCACTACCAGTATTTGTCATCATGAACAATATGCTCATCCTCACATTGTTATAGCACTTGTATTATTATACCTGATAGTACTATCATTGCACTATTTTGTTATCAGTATTGTTGACTCACCAATTTTCTTACTAAATAGGATTTATTTTCCGATTCAAAACTGGAAGTCGTAGATTCCAATCCAATTCCGGCTGTTTCCCTTCTCATAAAATCATATAAATTGCCACTTACCCTGTTTCTCTACACATCTTAGTTTCACTCTCTCGTAACTTCATCAATCTTGTTCTTTTCTTTCTGTTTCACTATTTTCCGGAGGCTTATTATTATTATTGTTTTATTATTATTATTGTTTTATTATTATTATTATTGTTATCATTATTTGTTATTATTATTATTATTATTATTATTGTTATATTATTATTATTATTATAATATATTATTATTCATTATTATCATTATATATAATATTATTCATTATTATATTATATTATTATTATTATTATTATTATTATTATTATTATTATCATTATTATTTTATTATTATTATTATTATTTTTATCATTATTCATTATACCATCCTTATTATTATTTTTTTATTATTATTATTATCATTATTATTATCATTATCATTTTATTATTATCAGTTTCTGATTTCCGAGCTATTTCTCCCACGCCGTCGACTGAGCCAGGCGAACAAATCAATCTAATATATAACTTGACCGGATGGTTCAGGCAACGGAGCAGAGTGTCAGCGGCTTCCTTAATCGTGTTTCCAGCAGCGGCGTTTCACTGAACAGCTGTAAAAGAGAGAGAGAGAGAGAGAGAGAGAGGAGAGAGGAGAGAGAGAGAGAGAGGGAGAGAGAGAGAGAGAGAGAGAGAGAGAGAGAGAGAGAGACAGACAGACAGACAGACAGACAGACAGACAGACATAGACAGAGACACAGAGAGAGAGAGGATACAGAGAGAGAAGACAGAGAGAGAGAGAGAAAGAAAGAGAGACAGACAGAGAGAGAGAGACAGAGAGACAGACAGACAGACAGACAGAAGAGAAGAGAGAGAGCCTCATCCAGGTTTCCAACAACAACAACAGGACAACAACAACAACTCGCTGTCCTTTTGCGATTTCGGATAATGGCTCGGGACTCTCGTTAACCATATAAGCAGATTATTCACGTAAAGCGGCGTGCGTCGTCTGTGTCAGCCTGATATAACGAGAAGGTACAGTAAGACTCCGATTGATGTACTATACCAGTCTCGCTTCTCATTGGTCTCTCGCTTTGCTTCTCATTGGTCTCTCGCGAATGGGGGATGTAGGGAGGTACTCTGTTTTAATCTGGTTATAACGAATACGTTCTAGTTCCTGCCTTTTGCCGTAATCCGTTGTCGGATATGATTTCGTGATGAGTAAGGTTTAAGACTAAGCATGGTTTGGAAATGATATCAGAAATCACTGCACGCAAGAGAATGGACATAAATATATTAATTAATTGAATGAAGGATCTATTTCCATACTGACACGACTGTTGAGTG